AAAGGGGGTCAAACACCGTATTAGTATGGTGTTCCTAATAATCCTTTAGGTGAGTGTATATCCTCAAGGAAAAAAGTGTCCTTCAATTTTAGGTTATTTGTCTTTGGAGGAAATAAGACATCTTACAATTTAGATTTTTTGAAATGTATTTTTATTTTTAATTTCACAGCATGTCCTCTTTAGTGTATAACAGGAATAAATATGTTTCCTAACATCAGGGAAAAGATAGATGCAAAAATAAAATGTCCACTACAGAGGACATAAATGAATGGGTGGGGTCTCAGGATTATAAGATATAGTAATGTTATTTCAGTGCGAGGCTCAGTGTGTAACCCTGGGTTGGGGGTTTGAATCCTGTTTTGTGTGTGTGTGTGTGTGTGTGGGGGGGGTCTTGTATATTTTAAATTGTGGGGACCCCATAATGTGGTAAAAACCTGTTATTTTGACGTTGACGTCAATTTTATAAAACTGTGACTTATATGTCAAAAGTCTAGTATTCAGCTTGCTTGGTTAGTTATGCTTAAGATTAGGGCTGAGTAGGGGTTAAGGTTGTCATTGTTGAGATTAGGGTTTTGCATATAGCATTAAATGGACAGTCCCTACAAAGATACAAGGATACAAACATGCGAGTGTGTGTGTGTGTGTGTGTGTTTCCTCTCACAGTCCAAAGCCATACGTGTAGACAATATGGTGTGTCATAGGGCGTGAGTGTGTGCCAGGCGATGGACTGCTATCCCATCCAGAGTGTTCCCCTGCCTGACGTATGACCTTGGAAAAGGCTCCACCTCACCTTGACTTCTGTTCTAGCGGTTGAATATAGATTTGTATATGCAACCAAACATACTTTGCTACAGAAGCAGGGATTGGTCCCCTGAACCCTGTAGGTGTATCAAGTGCCTTCCACATTACTGACAGGCTTCTGCATTTCACCAGTTTGATGGCACCGGTCCTGGAAACTTCCATTCTCACAAGAGTCCCGTTTGGATCGCTGGAACAAAAAGAAAGAAACGACCCACTTTCCTCTGGTAGCCTTTTGCTACATGCTGATTGGCTGAACAGGGAGAAGCATTTTCGGGCCTGATGTCTGGGGTCAGTGTGGGCCGGGGACAGACCTGCGATTTCCCATGATGCACCATTTCAGGATTCCTGATTGGGAACTAAGATTTGGAATACGTGAATGAAGGAATAAAAATTCCTAAACCGGTACAGACTGAGATGTTTTGTTTAAACTGAACAATGAGGAATCAGCTTGAAGAAAAACCAGTAGCTCTGTCAGCTACTTTTCTACAAAACAAAGGAAATTGTTTAAATTATGTTTATGCTGGTATAAAACCATGAAATCACGCCTGTCAAAGTGCGCTAGATTAACCACTTCAGAACCTCACCTTAAGTAAGCCTAGTGTTTGAAATAAGTATCTTGAGTGTAGCAGCACCACACTAGTCCGGATGGAACAATGAGAGTTTTTTTTCAG